GTCTAGTGATTTTTCCTTTACTTACTGATTTGCAGTTTGATTGCATTATCACCAGAAAACATATTCTGTGTATGATTTTATTTCTTTGATGAAGGAAGTATTTGTGATCGGTGTCAGGGAAACTCAGAAGTATTATAGGCATCTTTAAAAATGGATTTTATTTAAACCTCAGATATACTTAAAGTATTTGTGTTCCCAACTTCAGACACGTCAGAAGTTTGAGGAGTAGAATTCAGACCTTGCTCTTCCCTGTCTGTGATCATCTCTTTTTAGCTGTCTGTATACCCCTCCCCCTTTCCCATATATTCCTACAGCTTATTGGAACTCACTTCTTCTTCTGTGTTTTCATAACTTATATACATATCCTCTATTAAGTAGAGGAAAAGAAAAGGTAATCTATAAGATAAAATTCTTGTTTCAAATTCTGGTAGCAGTCTGTTTAGACAAATAAATAAGAATTAATATCTCCATGAATTCAAGTTAGTTTGTGAGCTAAACTAAGTCTTATATTTGCAGAGTCTTTCATTGTTAGTAGTTGTGAGGAATATTTCAAACTTATATAACATTATTGCCATTTTATTGACACAGTAGCAACTCAAAATTATTACTTTTAAGACATTCCAGATACTGGTTTATTTGCTTTCATGTACTAGCTCAATTTTTACCAAAATCCTTTTAGGTTGCTAGTCTTCTTTTGCATATTTTAGGTATGAAAGATTATGTTGTATTTTTCACTGAGGCTCATGGATGACAACCTCATGCTTCCTCAATTTGAAAAAGGGTAAGGGAGGGGCTAGCATTGTGGCATAGCAGGTAAACCACTGCCTGCTACTCCGGCATCCCATATGGGTGCTGGTTTGTATCCTGGGTGCTCCCTTCTGATCCAGCTCCCTGCTAATGTTCTGGGGAAAGCATCAGAAAATGGCCCAAGTGCTTGGGCCTCTGCCACCCATGTGGGACAACTGGAAGAAGCTCCTGGCTCTTGGCTTCCTCCTGGGCCATCACTGGCTGTTGCAGCCATCTAGGGAGTGAACCAGTATTGGAAGATCCTTCTCTCTGTCTGTCCCTCTCTCTGTAACTCTTGTCTTTCAAATAAATAAATAAATATTTAAAAGAAAAAGGATAAATAAGGAACAGAGATTTTAGGTTTTAATCAAACTGTCACTTTTCTGTTTTTTGTTTTAAGCCTTTCTACTTCCATGTAGAAATGGCATGAATTTCAAATGTACTTTCATCTCATTTATCTCATGTTCCTAGGTCATGTCATGTATTAGTTCTTCTTGTATTAAAGTTTTCTGTAAAGTCTCCTCTTTACGGTGGAGATTCTTCTAAACTATAGCAATCCTACTTGTGGACCTGAGGATATCTTATGTTTTTTTGCCTTTGACTTTCGATTTCTGTAATTTTTTCTACTTTTGAGGTCAGTGAATCTGTTCAAGTCTACATTCACCACCATGATGATGATATAAATTGAGTCAGTAAGCTGTGGCTCATGGTGGCCCTTTGATTGTTTTCATATATATCACCAGCATGATTTTTGCAGATGAGTATTGTATAACACTTGCGTTGAACCTTAAAAGCAAAATATTAACCCTCAGTATGAAAGAATTTCATCTTTCTCATTGCAATATAGTTTTTATATTGCAATGGGAAGTGTACTGGATTATTATTATATTTTAACCATTGTGAATAAAAATTTGTTTGAAGATTATTTTCTCTGGGTTCTGATAATGTAGGCCTCAGGACATTTTTCCCTGACCTGTAATGCCTAAGATTTTCCCATGTGATCCCTTAGAGAAAAAGATTATAAATCCCAACTTTGAAAGAAACCTGCACTTGTCTCATATCCACATTCATTTTCTGTTTCAATTTAAAAGCATATTGAAATACAGCCAGCCAGGAGCACTTACTTCCTGAGTTCACAATATTAGTGGTGAAGCTCTTTAAATATAATTATCTCAATAATTTTGTCCCTAAATTTGATAGGAAGAGTTTGAGTAATGAGTGACTCCTATACTTGTTTTCTCTCTCTCTCTCCTTTTTTAAAAAAAAAAATAGTTGCCCAATCTGTATAATTATATTTAATACTATAGAACTAAATCATAGATGGGACTCCAGTCTAACCTCTCCTTTTTTGTGATGAGAAAATCTTGACTAGCATTAACATTCCAAAATTAAGGTCCAAAAATTATATAAATGATGTCATCACTTTATTATTATACTGATATTTTAATACTTTTTGTTTTGTTTTACTTAATGGCATATGAAAAATCACCCAGCTAGTTTAGTGATACTGACATTTTTATCATTTCTGTTTTGTGGATATGTGACTTGTTATCCTCTGTGATATAATTTAAAGGATTATTCTAGTTCTCCTGACAGCTATTATCTTTAACAACCCTTCTCTGCCCATATATGTTTACTAATGTGTCTTCAGGGTCATAGAGCAGAATCACTTTTTCAACAGCAGTTTTCTAAGTAAGCATTAGGTAGAATTCTGTCTTCCTCTCTTGATACTGATTGTTAAAAACACTTCATATCACAAGCATTTTTTAGATGTGAAATAAGGTAAGTCATTTTTGTTGATAGTACAGGAAGAGATCTGAATATAAGTGTTGTGGAAAAAAAGTTTTAGATAATGTGTGTCAGATGCCCTATGGATGAAGCATAAATTACTCAATAATCCTGAAGGTATTTTTCTTTGTGTTTGACTCCGGCATGTGGGAATGCATTTGAATATTGATACTAAATTCTTAAGGCACTATTATTTTCTTCTCTAGCATTCACTATTTATACTTTTTTTTGAGCTAACATTCCCTTTATTTCACTTTTCACCTCCTTCTACTCTTTCTTTTAATAGGGTCCTAACCTATTTAATAGAAAAGTCTGTTAAACTGAAAGTTATTGTAAGCAAACTATACAGGTTATATGCTTGTGAGACAACTTTTTGTGTGAAATGCTGTGTTTTAAGTTCGTCAGCTTTCAGTATTATTTTCCATTATAACATTATTGTACCATTATGATGTGTTAGCATTAATCAAGTTGGGCAGACGTGGTTGAATTTTGGGTTTGTCCATGTATTCCTGTTTGTTATCAATATTCTACCAATTAAGTTTTTGCCTTGATACATTAAACAAACATTTATTTTTTATTTAAGACTTTCCAGGGTCTTTTAGAAACTTGTGCGTTGGTAAATATGTGGAGCAGGCTTATTTGAATGTCTAATATATTGAGAAGTACTTCTTTGCTTTGAGGACTTCTACTTAATTCATAGCTTCCTTGATTTGTTTACATATTTTCTATGTCTGGTTTGACAGTACGAGGGCAGAATCGAGTTGTGACAGACAACAGAGGCTGTAGGTCCTGGAGGGCTTTGTAGTCCATTAGTGAAAAGGGAAGGGGCCAACCACTGACCATACATGCGTATTGCTGCTGTGTGTCTGTGCATTTAGTGTTTTTAGGCCTTCTCTCTTCTCCATCTTCCATGTCTTCAGAGATCTGTAGCTGATTCTGGAAGTCATTTCCTGCCTCATTTTCCTCTTACAAATCCACTCCTTCTCATTTTATTTGCAGAAGCAACTTTCCAAAACTGAAATTTTGACTCTACTATTTCTTAAATAAAATCCAAACATACCTTGCTCTGGCTTTTGCCTTCCATTTATAAGGCACATATGTAAATGTATATCTAATGTGGAATGTCTAAACATATATAAATTGGAGTGGCTCTCCTTTCCTTGTAAGTATCTTACTTCAAATGTCAGTTCCAGAACCATTGCCTATTCTGATGCTCTTTGGTCTGCTCCTTACGTTTTACGGCCACCATCTTGTAGGGAACAGAGGTGAAAACCTGATCTCAGAGGCAGAGTTAGCATTTCCCTTTCTTCGTATTTCTACTGAGCCTGGTACACAAAACAGTTTTTTTCACTTGATATGTATTTCAGTTTCCTGAGTATTTATGTCTTGTCCTCCTGTTTTACTGTAAGCACAGTGGTTGTTTCTCGTTTACCTCATTGTTGCCAGTGCTTAGCATAGTGTCCAGTAAATATTTATTGAATTAATTCTGGCTCAATTATATGGTACACTTTTTTTTAAAAATTTTTTGACAGGCAGAGTGGACAGAGAGAGAAAGGTCTTCCTTTGCCGTTGGTTCACCCTCCAATGGCTATCGTGGCCAGTGCGCTACAGCCGGTGCACCGCGCTGATCCGATGGCAGGAGCCAGGTACTTCTCCTGGTCTCCCATGGGGTGCAGGGCCCAAGCACTTGGGCCATCCTCCACTGCACTCCCGGGCCATAGCAGAGAGCTGGCCTGGAAGAGGGGCAACCAGGACAGAATCCGGCGCTGCAAGGTGGAGGATTAGCCTAGTGAGCTGCGGCGCCGGCCCTATATAGTACACTTTTAAAATTTTTACCCTTCTGTGCTTATTGGAAGCCAAAATCTTTTAGAAAAATAAACCTGACTCATATATTTTGTCTTATAGCTCCTAAGATCAATAGGATGAAACTGTGTAGGCACTGTTTTCTGACTTGGCACACAATGCACTAAGGCCAGAATTCCTCCTCTAAATTTTGTAGAATCTTTGAATCGAGTTTTGATCAGTATTCATTGTGAACCTCTTCTGTAGAACACTGTGTGTGTGTGTGTGTGTGTTTACAATTTATTTTATTTGTTTGAAAGACAGAGAGGTAGATACAGAACCATCTGCTGGTTCAGTCCCCAAATGGCCGAAGTAGCTGGACCTGAGCTAATCCGAAGCCAGGAGCCAGGAGCTTCTTCCGGGTCTTCCACACGGGTGCAGGAGCCCAAGGACTTGGGCCATCTTCTGCTGCTTTCCCAGACCACAGCAGAGAGCTGGATTGGAGGTGCAGCAGCCAGGACTTGAAGCAGCACAAGCCCCAGAACACAGTTTTTTTATATTTGTGATTTGCTCTTCATGAAATTTTGTTGATGTATAATATTCTGAATAGTTTCAGCCATCATTATGTCTTATCTCATTTCTAGGTACAAGACATCTGCTTCAGCCATGACTGTCGCTGGGTTGTAGTTAGTACCCTCCGGGGTACTTCCCACGTGTTCCCCATCAACCCCTATGGGGGCCAGCCTTGTGTTCGAACACACACATCACCACGAGTAGTGAATCGCATGAGCCGTTTCCAGAAGAGTGCTGGACTGGAAGAGATTGAACAAGAATTGACGTCTAAGCAGGGAGGTCGCTGTAGCCCTGTTCCAGGCCTATCAAGCAGTCCTTCTGGCTCACCCCTACATGGTAAACCTAATTTTTTCCTTTTCTACTACTCACTCCAGTCTCCCTTCTTTGTTCTTAATTTTAGAGGTCTGGAATTAATTAAAACTTTTTATTATCTGTTCATTTAAAGATAAACTCTTGGGCTCGTTTTAGATATTCTTATTTATTAAGTCATTTAATAAATTGAAGCCAATATGGTACCAGTTGTTTTGACCATATTATTTTAACTGCCTGTATTTTTTGGTATATAAATGATATTTGGTATGTTTAGGACATTTGAAGTGTGAGAATGTTCTCTTAACTTTGGAGACTTTAACATCGTTCTGCATATCTCTTCTCCCATGTTCTGTCTTTAATGGGTCAGTTCTAAGAGTATAATTCCTTAGAATTACTCATTTTTGGAGAGGAATAGTCATGCTTCATGTATATTTTAGGAAGAACAGCATTTGCTTTTTATGTTGAGGTATTTCTCTGCGTGATTTCTACCAGAATGTTACAGGAAAAACAAAGGTGTATATTGGTGTTAGATCTTAGAGCAAATAGTTGTGTAATCTTCCTCCCAGTCAATAAATGAAACATTGTCAGAATTCCCACATTTTTTGTGCCCCATACCATTAAACCACAGTTATTTCTCTTCTAGTTATCACATGCTGACTTTAAAAAAAATTAGAATCTTCCCTTATATAGAGTAGAGTTTGTTCCCATTTTATACAAGTGTCATTTATATTTTGGGATATTTGATTTCCTTTCACATTATATTGGTGAGATTCATTCATGTTGTTGTGAGTAGTTTTAGTTCACTTATTTCCATTACTTTAATTTTTCCACTGTTCAAATATGCTTCTATTTGTTTATCCTTTCTATAACTACTGAAGTATATTTGTTGTGTTTTTGATTTAGAGTTGGTAGGAATAATGATGCAATGAAGTTTTTTCTACTTGTTTCTTGGTATAAATATATCTACTCATTTTGAGTGGAAATTCATATATGAATCTTAATTTTGTGAGATAACACCATAGTGGTGCTACTGTTTTATTATCATGAAGACAATGTGGACATTAGATGACTCTACCTGGAGTGTTGTAGATTCTCCTTAATGGATAACCATTTTAGATTTTCAAGATCAGGCAGTTTTAGATAGTAAGATAACCCAGTTTATCCATTTATCCATCCATTGATGTTTGTTTTCCATCCTTCTATTTTAAAAATTTATTCATTTATTGAGAGGCAGTGCAACAGAGAAAGTGAACTTCCATCTGCTGGTTCATACTCCAAGTGCTTATAACAGCTGGAGCTGGGCCATGGCCAAAGCCAGGATTTTGAAATTCAATCCAGGACTCCCATGTGGGTGGCAGAAACTCAATTACCTGAGCCATTACTACTACAAACCAGGGTTTGTATTAGCAAAATGTTCAAGTCAGGAGTCAGCCAAGAAATGAACTCAGGCATTCTGATATGGGATGTGGGCACCTTGACCTGTGTCTTAACTACTAGGCTAAACCCATACTTCTTTTCCCTTTTGGCTTTTGTGACTAATGTTGTTATGAACATGTGTGTACATTTATTTATTTACTTGTTTGCAATTCTTTTGAGTATATACCCACTTTTATTGTTTCAGCTTCTGTGTTGACCACATTACATATAATTTTGTAATACTTGTTCAGTATTATTTGTGTCTACATGTATGTTTTTAGTTTATACAGACTATATTTTCCATCATTCTTGAAAACTTTCTGTGAGAGTGTACATGTATCCTGAAGGGAACTACTGTAACTCAAATATGTAGAATCTCTATTTAAGTATTGTGCCAAAAAACTGGTATTTAAGTATGTAGTATAGATTCTTTAAGGATTCTTTGTGATGAATATTTTTGTTTTTAGAAAATTGAACTTATTTATTTGGAAGACAAAGCAATAGGGTGGGGAAATGGGGATGGTGGTAGATACCTTCCATTTGCTGGTTCACTCCCCAAATGTGCATATCAGCTCGGGCTGGACCAATCCAAAACCAGGATCCTGGAGTAACACTTAGGACTCAAGTACTTGATTTTCACTTGTTACCTTCCAGGATAGAATCAGCAGCAAGTTGAAGCCAGGGCTTACCCGGTGCCAGGTGACTTTTTTTGAGAGAGATTCAATGTGTATGTGCAGCAGCTAGGTCAACAAGACAACTCACAGATGCAGAAGTGTAGTTTACAAGTTTTGTGGAACAAATTTGTTTATCTTGGTGCAAAAAAATTTTCATGAACTTCTGGAAGACCTCTTTTTACCTTTGATTTTCTTCCCATTCCTCTTTTTTTTTTTTTTAACTGAGTAAACCACATGACAAAAATCTGTGCCAGTTTTTAGGTGTGATGTACACACACACACATGCACACACACACGATGCGTTCTTGTGTCTTCTACTCCAAAGAGAAAGACAGATATTAAATGACTGCAACCAAATACCTCTCAATATGTTTTTATTATTATTATTTTTTTGTTTTTTGACAGGCAGAGTGGACAGTGAGAGAGACAGACAGAGAGAAAGGTCTTCCTTTGCTGTTGGTTCACTCTCCAATGGCCGCCACAGCCGGCGCGCTGCGGCTGGCGCACCGCGCTGATCCGATGGCAGGAGCCAGGTACTTATCCTGGTCTCCCATGGGGTGCAGGGCCCAAGGACTTGGGCCATCCTCCACTGCACTCCCGTGCCACAGCAGAGAGCTGGCCTGGAAGAGGGGCAACCGGGACAGAATCCGGCGCCCCGACCGGGACTAGAACCCCATGTGCCGGCGCTGCTAGGTGGAGGATTAGCCTAGTGAGCTGCGGCACTGGCCTCTCTATATTTTTTTTATCAAAAGTGTCAAAGGGCCAGTCAATGAAAGGTTTTATATTTTTGTAAAAGGACGTTAGCTTAAGAATAATACTTGAATTCAAAGTCAGAATATGCTGTTTTCCCTAAGCTTAGTGCTTTCCTAGGTTTTCTGGTGTTTTCACAGAAATTTCAGAGGGGAGATTCAGCACTGAAAATGATGCTGTACTTAAGATTCCCTTCTGAAAGCAGTGAGTTTCAAGAGGCGTGTTTCCCTGGATAACACATTTCTCCCCATTGCTATGTAGTTTTTCTCATTTTTGAAGTATAGTCATTGGAGTGGTGGTCATTTTTCTCCATTTTATTTTTGTATCTTAACATGTCAAAACAACATGGGCATTGTTGTTGGGTTGGTTCTAAAAATGATGTATTTACAGTTTGTGTGGGTAAACAGTCTGATGGTGGTTAAAGACAATGTAAACCTTTGCACAGGGAGGGATTCATCTTGAAAATGAATCATGTTTTGGCCCTGGTACCAGTGTTCATCTGTGCTCCTTTTAGCAAAGTCAAGGAAACTGTTAAATAACAGTTGATATAGGGGTATTTCCTTTTTACTTTTGGAGTCAATCCAGTCAGGTTAGGATTATTTTATCTATCTTTCCAGAGGATGTTTATTTATTTGAAATATATTCTTTACAAATACTGCTTTTCATTTCCTATCTTGTTGGATGGAGCTTAGTCTAGATGAAGGGTTCCCACCATGAGATTCATGAAAGGAGATAGAAAAAAAGTACTTCTTTATATTCATTGTCCTCTAGCCAAAAGTAAGTATCTCTTTTCAATACGGATATAGAAAATACATGGCCACAGTACTAGCAGTACTTGTGTTTTTGGTACCAGTAGAAAACACAGATGTTTTGATGTCATGTTAGATGTGAGAAAAATAGAATTAAAAGTGTGAATTTGTTTTGGCACAGAAAACTTTTTTTTCAGTCATACGTGGGAACTCTGTGTTGTGAAAGAATTTATACTTGGACTTAAAAATCCTTTCATCAAGACTATGCTTCTGATTCCATTTTTTGTGAACTTTTCAAGCACTTTATTATTAAATATGTATTGTGAATGTGTTAAATTATTTAATGGTTTGATATATCTTTTGTGCTCATCACAGCTTTGAAATTATATGTGATTGTATGTTATTGTAACATTAGCATTATAGTATAACATTGTTTTTAATAGTTTAACTGTACTTCAGTTTAATTCGTTACCTTTCTAATTATATGCCAATTTTCTGCTTATGTCACACCATAATCTTAGAATGTGAGGAAATGCCTCATCTTCCTATCCTCTTGTGCCATCATGATTTGAGTTCTTTACTCTTTGCTGAATATGCCAGGTGTATTGATTTTTGAGGGTGACTTTCCTATTTGTGTAGTTTTCTGTTCTTCAAATAATTATTATGCCTTTGATTGCCTACTAAGGCAGCTGAAATAACAGTCTCTCTCTTAAGTCTTCTCTTGATGTGGTATTGCATGTGTCAACTTCATTTTTGGTTTACTGTGCATACTTTTGTCTTATAATATGGGAATTCATTGGTACATCTGTGTTTCCTGTTGGATTGACTTCTTTAAAGAAAAATCCTATTGTGTCTTGCCACCCTGCACAGAAGTTGGCAAAATGTGGCCTCTGTGGCTTTACATCATGTTTTTGTTTTTTTTTTTTTATTTTTTTTGACAGGCAGAGTGGACAGTGAGAGAGAGAGACAGAGAGAAAGGTCTTCCTTTGCCGTTGGTTCACCCTCCAATGGCCGCCGCGGCTGGCGCGCTGCGGCCGGCGCACCACGCTGATCCGATGGCAGGAGCCAGGAGCCAGGTGCTTTTTTCCTGGTCTCCCATGGGGTGCAGGGCCCAAGCACCTGGGCCATCCTCCACTGCACTCCCTGGCCACAGCAGAGAGCTGGCCTGGAAGAGGGGCAACCGGGACAGAATCCGGTGCCCCAACCGGGACTAGAACCCGGTGTGCCGGCGCCGCTAGGCGGAGGATTAGCCTAGTGAGCTGCGGTGCCGGCCGTTTTTGGTTTTTAAAATTTTAAAAATTTATTTGAAAAGTGATATAACAGAGTGAAAGGGACACACGTACGTACACACACACACACACACACACACACACACAGATCTTCTCCCTGCTGGTTCCTTCCCGATATGGCTGCAACAGCCAGTTCTGGGGCCAGG